GATGCACTTATTTCTGGCAGTGGACAAGGAAAACAGTCAAGGTTTTGCCCCCGGAGCAGTGCAGCCTGTAGATGGAGGCAGAAAATTCAAACATACATGATCAGCGTGGAGAACATCACTGAGGTAGCTGAATCGTGCAGGGAGGTGATGAATTGTCAAATTTGATGCGATTTGACCTTAGGCATTACGAGCGCGCAACACCGGGCGCCCCCTGTGTCATTCAGCCCAGGACTGCCGCGCGCACGGCCTTGCCCTGCCGGAGGCGCAGGAGAAGCCACTGCTGCTGCGGGCCATGCGATCCCGCTTGCGGCAGGCGAGCAAGGGCAAACGCGGTTTGGATCCCAATGGGTGTCGGTACGCGTGGGATGCATTGATCCCTCATTGCTTTTGCGCCGGAAAGAGGCTGAGTTGCAATCTTTCAAGCATAGCCCGAGCAGAGGTGGTGACACATGATAAGACAATTGAGTCCTTCTGACGGAAGAAATCCCGCATTGCCTGAGGGAGAGCATTCTCATTGTGTTTTGAGCCACGCTCGGCGGTGCAGGATTTCTTCTGTCCGAGCAAAGATAATATGTCAGTTTTTACAATTTTGCCTTTGAAGCACAGGCTTGGATAGGCCCAGTCAGTTGCGCTGGCAGGCCCGATTCTGGCACTAAGGCTGAGTCAACGCTCAGTCAACACTACTGTAAACACGTCGAACATGCTGCGTTTGGAGCAAAAGCCCTTTTTCCCCTCGAATGGGAGCTTTAATGGTTTCTCGGACAATTTCATAGGTTGGCGAAGTTGGCGAAGATGCTGGCCCTGCCGGCATTTTCGTAGTGTTGACTGTCGCATTGAATGAGTGTTGAGCCTATACGGACCTGGCAGTCTGTTGCAATCGCGTGAGCTTCAACGAAGCTCAATGGCTGTTGCAAGTGTCTGAGAAAATAGCACAGTCTCGGCGCCGGGTCAAGCAAGTCGAGCGCGGCACTCTGCAATTATTCTTCCTTGCAACAGAAGAAATCCTGCACCCATCGCACCTTGCACTTGATGCCTTCATACTCCCCACGCTGGCTCAAGCTTTCTACCTTGCTCACTGTTGGAAGAATTGCTAAAACAAAGTGCAAAAGCATTTCCCCCTAACCCTCAATCACCAGCATTCCCACCACGCAGGCTGGCTCAAGTTTCCGTTGCCTGGGTTTTTTTCTTTTCCAGTCCGCGCGAAGCTTCATTTGCGGTTTGACGCGTCGTCATGCGTCGTGTGGCGTTCGCGCGAAAATCCACCCTTCTATTGACTTCTATCGACCACACTGCTTCTTGCTTTTCCATGAAGATGTGAAGGATGCTTTTGAGTAGCAGGCGGCGGGAGGCAGAGATGGATTGAATGCTTTTTCCAAACAGGTCGCGAGGTTTCCGCTTGCCGCCTTGGGAACTGTCAGCCTCCAATGCTTACATGCTCAAGACCTGAGGTTCTCCGAAGCAACAATGCTTCGGACCCCCTTCAACGCGACACCCCGCTGTGATTGCAATGATTTTGTCTCCTGAGTTGGTCTCGCGACGCGGATTTCGCCCGCATGAACATTCCCAACTAACACATCAAAAGAGGGAACATCACAAAAGTACTGTCCCTGCCATCGACTCTTGGAGAAGACCTACTCAAACATAAGCTGGGCGTGATCCAAAACCACCGGAAACGGGGGACTCCATGGACCCGAGCGCAGTGAAACCTGTGACGACCGCCCTTCGGCTGCCTTGCGCCACTGACTTTTGCTTACGCCCATGCCGATATGCAGTCAAACAAAGTAAATAATAATTTTGCTAATGTGGCAGGCACTTTCCTAAATGTATTTCAGTAGTTGTTTGCGCATGCTTGTGGTTTCGCGTTCGGGTCAGCATGGTTGCGTTCGCGGCATGTGTGCTCTCCTGCGCATGTTTGCTAACACGCGCACACACACACACACACACACACACCACGCCCAGCCCCCGCCCCCCCGCCCCCCACCCAGTCAGTGGGCAAGGAGAACCCTAGGTCTTGGGGGGACATGCTTTCAGCAGGGCAAACACGTAAGTCAAAGGGTCCAAGAAGGAGGAGAATTGTTTACGCAGGGACAGGCCGCGATGCCAGGCCCTGAGATGGCAACACCTGGACACCGAGCAGCTTCGAAAAGCTTGCGAGCTGCGGCATTTCGCGACCGAAGGCGCGATATGGAGACCCGAGCCCATCACACACGCACCTGTTGACAGTCGCTTCGCTTTGTTGCAAGATGTGTACCGCTCGGGCATAGCGGGTGCAGCACGAAAGTTGCTCCGGACCCGGGGGCCCAAGCCTTTGCGGTTTGTTGGTTCGAATCCAGGCAAAGGCCGCAACGAGTTGCTGGAGTTCCTGCGGTCCTTCCAGGCCGATCGAGGGGAACAGCACGCCATAATGGTGAGCCTCGGTATGCCGCTTGCAGCAGCTGATGTGAGCATAACTTGTCATGAGCATGACCTTCTGCGACTGGCTGGAACTGTGAGCGTGCCGCAACCAATGATGTATAATAACAGGCGCCAGAATGGGCCGAGAAAGGCCCGTCAGTGTTCTCACGCGCATGCCAAGCTTGGATTGCCATTTGGCTGCGCAGATTCATTTGGAGGAACCACACCTTTGGGGACAGTGTAAACCAATCGAACTGACCACAGCTTCGCACAGCTTAGCATGCGGCTGCTTCCACTCGCAGGTGCCGCAGCCCAGGGCGAAGCCAAAGCCAAAGGCCAAGCCTGAGCCGAAGGCCAAGCCCGAGCCAAGGACGGCATTTCGAGCTCAAGCGAGCAGCCAGACAGTTCTTGCTGACTGAGAGGCCACCGTTGGTTCTCAACCATGTTAGTCCTAGAATCCGCGGAGTGACGGTTGGCATAGGGATGGCTAGAGCACTACTGAAGTGAGCCCATGGCTAGGATAATGCCCTGAGCCCTACCAGTTTAGCATAGTTTGACAAGTCACGAATTGATATGTGCAGATCGAGCCTGGCTGAACAGTTTGTGAACATGCACCTTTCTTGTAGGCAAACATGGGACACAGCAGTTTTCTTCTGTGGGTGACAACTCCCTTCTTGAGGCAGGCTGAGACTGCGGTGACCTGCCGCTTTTTGTACCGCCCATTGACGGGGTCCTGGAATTACACCCCCTCAGAACATTGCAAGCAGTGCTTGCTGTTGGTTTCAGCTTGCAGCTTGCCAGGAGCTCAGCCAAAGCATCGCAATGTTCCAATGAGGAGGTCACGGTGGGGAAGTGCCAACTCGATCAGAGGGTGTGCGTCCTAAGTCGTCCCAAAACTCTGGCACAAAATGGCACATAACTCACTGGGCCTTTAATTGGAGCATTCAGGATGCAGCTCTCAATGCCAAGTGTTGGACATGGCCGAAAGAGAGTCCGACAGACATCCAACTTTTGCTGGGTGCCTTGTTGTTTGCTGCCTACAGGCGCAGCAGCTGCGCAGGCGTATGTTTGCCATCCGCACTGCCCTACAGGAGGCGGAGTCTCAGAGCTACCCAGCCTGGATGAGCGCACGTGTTCGACGTGCCTGCGCAAAGTATCCCAACTTCTCTGGCAAATTCCCTCAGGAAATGGAAGTGGCTCTGATGCAGTTTGTGCTTGCATCCATTTCTCTGTTTGCTTCCTGCATGTGTCGGTTCGAATCTCTGCTTTCAACAACTGCTACCCCCATTTGCTGCATAGAGCACTTGTAAGTTGATACTTTTCTGGGTTATGATGATGAGCCCCGATGGTGCGCCCCAACGCCAAGGACTGGTCGACTCAGGAGGGGCGGCAAGACAGGGTGTTGTGGTGCGTGGCTCTGGCTCTGCAAGTCGTGCCGCGTTTGCAGGACATTGAGATGTATTTGTACTCCAACGGATTCCTGAAGCCCAACAAGAAGAAGGCGAAGTATGCGCATCTTTCGTGTTGCTTTGCCATTTTCAGGATGAGGGGTTGCTTGTGGGCCCATAGCACAGTGTCTGAATCTTCTGAATCTATCCCATCAAAGGCAGGCTCAAGTGTACTTGGCTTGGCCGCCCTACAGTGCAAGCGGAACCATTGGCACATTCGTCGATCGCAGGGGCAAGCCAGGCAAGTGAGCATGAAGATGCATGAAGCATCATGAAACAGAACAACACGCAAAACAAAGGATGAAGTGAATGAAGTTTCATGAAGCAGAATGTCACACAAACATCATGAAACAGAATAAAGTTGCTGAAATCGGAGTCTTCGACCTTCCCCAGGCCTTTTTGCGTGTCTTCCTTTGAATTTTTCGCGTCGAGCGAGGCCAGGCCGAAGGTGCCCCTGCGGGCGCACTACGAGGCCTTGGGCCTGGAGCAGGGCGCCTCCGCCAGCGAGATCCGGAAAGCCTACCGCCGGCTGGCGCTGATTTACCACCCCGACAAGAATCCGGAAGATCCAGAGGCAGCCGCAGATCCTTGGCCTTCACTGACTTCTTGATCAGCTTGTACCAGAAAAAAAGCCATCCTTGGCCTTCACTTATGAGTTCTTGCCATGGCAATTACCAGAACAACTCGTGCCAAGCTGGCAAAAACTTGATCTTGACATGAGTTGATGTTGCCGACCCCGAGTCTGAGGAGACGTTTCGGCGCTTGGCGGAAGCGTATGAAGCGCTCGCGGCCTGCTTCTCCAGCGAAGCTGAGGATGTAGCGGGTTAGGCCCAGCGCAGCGGAAGAGCTCAGCGGGAAGATATTCGGGTGTGGTTCAAAATTACAACAGCCGGGGGTTACGCAGGTTTTTGTCTACCTTCCATTTGCCAGGGTTCCATTTTGGACCCCTATTTTTGAGCCACACCCGCAAGCCTCGAAGCATTGTGCCATGAAAAGCGAACGACTTGTAACGTGAGCCGGTCGCGGAGGATTTCTCGGCACTGCCGAGATGCAACTTATTTGTTTTGTGCATGGCTGCGAATTTGGAAGCCATTCCTTTAGGGGTGGAGTGCATTGCGTGGTGCATCCAGCCACGGCTGCCCATTGTGGTATGCTGAGGCTGCTCGGCAGGATCGCAGGCCCATCGTTTACGAAAAGTGTCGAGAAGACTACGATTTATTAATTTGTTGCGCTGACGACGCCCCCATTCCATGCAACCAAAGGGCCTGGAGGTGTTTAGGGTATCGGTCAAAATTAAAGCACCAGGGGACCGCAGGTTTTAGTCCTTGGTTCCATTTACTAGGGTTCCAACATGGATACCCATTTTTGACTCACAGCCTTTACAAGATTGCTTCCGTCGCGGCACTTGGAGACGCTTGCTTGCCGCTGGGCAGGTGTGAGACACCAAGGCGGTCCTTGCAGGCGGAGAAGCCGGTAGTGTGAGCTTCAAAGATGCTGTTGCAGCAATCAGGGTTCCTGATTTGACGAGACAGCTGTCATCAAACATGAAGACGCCAATGCAGACAAGGACAGACAAAATTATTCAACAATTCGAATTCGGGTTTGGGAGTTTGACGAATTCGGGCTCTTCGGGCTTTAGGCTCTTCGGACTTTTTGGGGGTTTTTGAGGTTTTCGGGATGCAGGATTTTCATGGACTTCGATGGAGAGAGGTCTTGCTTTCACTAGTTGCTGCGCCATTCGAGCCCCTTCTCGCTTCTTTCTCAACGTCAGCGAGCGTTTTGGGGTGAAGAACGTCAAGAGATGGAAGTGAGAGGCGGACATGCTGAACCGGAAACAAAGTTAATAAAGATGGTTGTTGGGTGTTGATTCGGAATTCAGGGTTTTGGAGCTTCGGTTTGTGTTCAGGAGGTTGCTTCTCCATGTTGAGCACCATATACAGCGCCAGCCGCATTTTGGTGCGGGTGAAGTCAAGCGTCAGTGAACATGTAAGCGCCGGTTTGGCATTTATGGGTCGCGGCCGAGCAAGCGCGTTCAACGCAAGCAGAGCGTTTGCAGTGGTCGTTTGTGCCGCTGGGCGCATGCCACGAGTGACGAGTGGCAGGTGCGTCACGACTCTCGGGAGATTGGCCTTGGCCTCAGGTGATCCAATTCGAGGAGCTGCGCCGGTCTGTTTTTTTTTTTTTGCAGCCCACGGGCTTGAAATGTGGGAAGGGTCCCACGGAATCGGCGTAACTGTTGTTGTGAACCCTGGCAGCGGCTCTGCACATGTGGGTTTGTTCCACCAATAAGGCTTGAACAATGGCATTTATACACTGATAGGGGGACAAGTGGTAAGCAACCATGGCGGAGAGCACAAGTGCAAGCTATGTGTTTAAAGTTGATTTTAATATAATGCTTGCATTGCATGTTGCGTTTCATGATTGAGGGCATATGTATGCAAGATTGCTTTACGTGAAGCTTCCATGTTGCGTTCCACTCTGAAATGTATGCGTTGACGATTGCCAAACATGGTGATCATGCGGGAGTTGCGTTGCCATGGTGACCTGCGCCTACTCGGGCTGAGTTCCATGCGGGGCAAAATGCGTAATGCGGTCCTTGTCTTGAGCCTTCCAATCATCAAATGCAATGCTTGTCCTGGGTCTGCTCACTGCCGGTGATTGCATTGAGGCAGGGAAGCCAGCAATGCTTTGCGGACACAGGCCCGAATGGATCCCCAAGACGCCGGGGTGGGATTGTTCACGTGAACCCCGCCAGTTCGTTACAAATCCTCGTCCAAAAAGAGGAACCGGCGGCGGCTCGTGATAACACCGTTCAGAGATTGGAAGGTTCTCCAACCCGTGAACACGGTATGGATCGATCGGAACTACTTTGTCCGGAGATGTGTAGGCCTCAAGTGTGACCAATGAGCCATGCAAAAGCTGGCACTTGAATTTGCCGCTGAGTTAGTCCTTTTTGTGGACCCTGAGGCTCGCTCAATTTCAATTTTGGCGTCTTTCAGCCATCCATATGAGTCAAGCCTTCCACGGGAGCGTAGGGGCTCTTGGCTCCTGCTTTGCACGCTTTGCCCGGGTGTGCCAGCAGGCAACATGGGAGCGGGAGAGGCCCAGGCCGGGAACGCCCACTCGGCTCGGTTTGGTTTCCGCGACCGTTCGCACGAGCGGAGCCGAAGGCCACCCCCCCAGGAGGTCGCCATGCTGCGGCGGATGCTGCGGGACTGGGCGCGGAGTTTTGCCTTAGGCATGCGCCAGCCAGGTGGCTCAACTCAGTGTTCGCAATGGCCGGCGCACCAGACAGGCCAAACCATGAAAAGGAAGAGGAATTTGCATTTGAGCTGGTGAGACATAATCACCAGCTGCAGCGTTGAGGACATGCGTCGTTGGCACTAGCTGCAAACTGATTGGTGGTCTTGAAGCCTTCGAGCAAGAATTTGGTCTGACAGTGCTCGGGCCTTCTCTTCTCAACTACCCGTGTCAGGGGGAACTCGCGAATCCAAGCCCAAGCGGAACTGACGCCGCAGGAGCATCGACAAGCACAACTGGCACAGCCGGGCCGATAGAATGGGCCCATGAAGGGACAAGGTGCGTGGGGTCGATCAAATGCTGGTCCCGCCCTTTTTGTTTTCCTGCCTCCTGCGCTTTGCTTTGTGCTTTGTTCGCTTGTTTGTTTGATGATTGTTTGATTTGTGTCATTCTAGTAGAAACCCTGCTGGTTGCCGTCGTGAGACGGTTGTCCTTTTCGCTTGTGTTTGGTGTTCTGAGCTTGCGCATTTGCATTTGGACTGCCACTCCATGCTTGGGACAAATTAGATAATTTAGCCTGAGCACCGCAGCCACAGCAGGGAGCGGGCAAGAGGGGAAGCAAGGAGTGCCTGATGTCCGCGAGCAGCTTCTTGCAAAGCATTGCTCACACACACAAACATGTTTGCGTTTGGTCGTGCCTATTGCCGAGAAGTGGCAGAGCTATTGAGAATGGCAAAGCTCAGGAAATTCAATTGCACCTCGGTGCTGCTATCTCTGCAGACCTAAGGCCATCGCCAGGCAGCGCCCCTTCTTCCTTGCGCCACGCTTACGTCCTTCAAATTGGCATTCCAGTCGCAGAAATTGGAGGAGTTCGAGAGCCAGAGCTTCCTACAAGGCAATGCTTATGGTTTCCCTCCATTAGGCCAAGGCGGCAGGAGCTGCCGGAGAGGATGGAGAGGCCAGACGCTTCCCGTTCAAGTCACCGGGGCCAGGGCTTGAAATCCCGAACATGTGACGGTTGGGATGTGCAAGAGGCGACAAGCGGTTTTGAAAAGATACCCTAGAGGTAAAGGCAAGGCAGGCTTGCGCTAGGCACTTGCCACTGTCGTGCTTTGGTTGCCATACGGGGGGCTTTGGAACTTGAGCAAACTGGCAGCCTTGATATTTACGGTTTGCGCGACAGCCTGGCCGGGCGATCTAGATGCAACAACTGTAGAACATGAATTACAATCAATTGTCACTTCCAGATATCTCTGGGCAGAGTCCTTTTGCATTGCAGGTGACCGGTCGGAAACAGTTTCGGCATCCATATCATGAAAGGCACCACCACAACCCAAGGCCTAGACACGCGCTGCCAGATTCATCTTTGTCTTTGCCGGCGCCTGAGTCTGTCAGTCGCAACGCTCAACATTGATTCTTCTAGAGCCACGTGTTTGCAAGTGAGAAGCATGGGCAGTGCTTCTCTCAGCGAGGCACAGAGGACTGATGACAGCCCCAGCTTTGTTGCAGCCCTGTCCTCAGTTCAGTGAGCAAGGCAGCTAAGCCACACTTTGACATTCGACCCTATCGTACCCTTTGCCAAGTGCTTGGCCAGCCCTGTCACTTACAACATCGAGGCTTAATTGGCTTTATCCCTTGCATGGCGCAATGATTCTTGGAAGTTCAAACGCAGAAGTGTTCGTGCCTCGAGATGGACACTCCGGGCATGGGCACCCTGGTTCTAAGGAGGCCGCAGCGGACCAGGTTTGGCAGCCTGCAGCATCTTGGCCAAACTAGGGCCTGTCCTGCAATACGTCACAGTTGTGCAGACGTGAAAGAGTACAGACGGCCTAGCATCACGCGAAGTGTGGCTGCATGTTGCATTGGTGGATATCAAGTAGTATCCAGAGATTTGGCATTCGTGAGGCACGGGGACATGGCAGCGCAAGCGCCGGCTTCGCCTCGGCCCCAGCCTTGCCGAGCGATCCAGCATATTCCAGCATGCTGAGCACGGGTGAAGTGCAAGAGTGCTGCATGAGCACAATTAGCTTGGGCAAGGGTGCGGCAGAAGGGCAAAAGGCACAAGAACTTCCAAGAGACAGGGTGAGGGGCAAAGGAAGGAAAACAGAGCATTTGCGGCTTGCTCGCTGGCAAGTTGCCAAGGCCCAGCCCGCAAGCCTTGTTTCCTGATGTGCAGTGCCTCGGCATGCAACTTCAAAACTTCAACGGGTCTTGCGCTTTCTGGTCCTGGGCTGCCAAGCTCGCAAACCATTCCACGCAAGGCGCGTTCTGCCAATATTTGCCCGAGGCTAGGGGAAGCGTCGAACCCCCAACCTTCCCCACAGCCAACGACCCAGCGTGAGTGCAGCGCTTGTAGTGGATTTGGCACTGACAGGCATTCTGTCTTCGGACAAGTGCAGGAATCGCTAGATAATTGGATAGTGGATCCCCTTCACCTGCACTGAGTAGCAGGGCTATGCAAACGGGGGATGGCGGTGCGGGCAGCTTTGGTGATACCAGCAGGTGTGGGAGAACTGCCATGAATTTCACTTGCGGGAGTTAGCACTTTTTCTGAGGCCTAGCCCGCAGTCAACCAGGTTTGGCAACCTGCAGCATCTTGGCCAAACTAGGGCTTGCCCTGGAATAGGTCACATCACAGTCGTGCAGTCGTGCAGATGTGAAAGAGCATAGATGGCCTAGCAGCACGCGAAGTGTGGCTGCATGTTGCATTGGCGGGCGGGCTACCCAGCGATATCCGGAGCTTTGGCATTTCCTGAGGCACGGGGACATGGCAGCGCAAGCGCTGGCTTCGCCTCAGCCCCAGCCTTGCCGAGCGATCCGAATCCAGCATATTCCAGCATGCTGAGCACGGGTGAAGTGCAAGAGTGCTGCATGAGCACAATTAGCTTGGGCAAGGGTGCGGCAGAAGGGCAAAAGGC